TACATTGTTCTTTAGATTCCACAAATAAGGAAAATCATATAGCATTTGTGTTTCTCTGTCTTTCTCTGACTTGTTTTTACTTAGCATAATACCCCCTAGGTTTATCCATGTTGTCACAAATGATAAGATTTTATTCTTTTTCTGTGGCCAAGTAATATTCCATTGTATATATGTACCATGTCTTCTTTATCCAGTCATCTGTTGATAGACATTTGAGTTGCTTTGTATCTTGGCTATTGTAATGAATGCTGCAATGCACATAAGTAAAATCTGGTTTTAAAAGCCTAATGAGGGTATCTTGGAAGGAGGAGAAAAGCCAAGCAACTAGAGAAGCAAGTAAGGAATTAAGAAGGCCTAGCAAGCAAGGCTTTGTGTGGTGCATACAGGTGCATTCGAGAGGGTCCTACCCCCTACCTGGGGCAGCCTCAAGCCCAGTGTCTGCAGAAGCTTGAGGAAATCCAGGGTAACAGGAGCAGTCTGTCTGTCCCATTATGGCATTCCCTAGATGTCACATTCTTGCTCTGATCAGAGGTAGCAGACTCAAATGCCTCCATGAGACAAGGAGGTAGCCACTAATGAACCAAGCAGGCAGGACAGAGAGAGCAGAGAACGGCAGAGCACGTTGCCTCTGAGATTGCTGCCCTGAGAGGCCTTGGCCAGGGTTGCTGGACTTTTTTGAGTTTTAAGGAAATTCTAGGAATCTCGAAGCTGGTGAGACCTGGGCCACCAGCTTGGTCCTCTCAGTTCAGGTTCATTATTGAAAACAGGCAAAGAGAAGCAATGACTTGACCCCGACAAGCCCATCCTCAGGCTCCAGGAAGTTTACCTTGCAAATTGGCAAAGTGGAAAAAAATTTAAAAATAAAAAATAAAGGAAAATAAGTAAAGAAAAACCCTCCAACAGGCAAGGAACAATAATTTCACACTGCCCTGTGCAAGACTCTCAAGTGCCTGGGTCTAAGTGTTGGAACGGCCGATCACGGCTTCCGTGGTCATCAGGAAGTGAACACACAGTCACGCTGAAAATGCCCTTAGTCTCACAGGACCCAGGGAGCCCGGACATTCAAAAAGGAAATCAGACAGTGCACCAAATTAGTCTTTAATGAATTTTGTCATAATTTTAAAAACAGGCTTATCCTGTGAAGTTTAACAAATTATATTGATTTTCCTTGTCTCGGTTTTCTCGAAACTCTAGGAGGCTATCCGCATCCGAATGTATTGGATAGGGATAGACGTTTGTGTCATTTTAAACAAGATCAAGAAGAAAGAATGAAAGAAACCAGATGAAGAATGTAAAAGTTGTATCTGTACGTCAGTGAGGGTGGGATCCAGGTGAGGGGGTTCAAATGCCCTGACCGCTCCCTGATTATCAGTGATGGCTGCCTTGGGGGGGCTGAAAGATGGAAGGTGAGAAGATGGTGTTAAAACGGTGTAAGTCTTTTATGTGTGCCATCAGACCAGAAACTATCCCCCTTGTGACCTAGCCAGGTCCATTTGCACATTTCCTGGAAAACGTGTTGCCTTTAGAGGCTTCTTTTCCTCTTCAGGGCTCCCCTTGGTTTCCTGGCAACCAGATTGCTTCTGAACATCGATGGCAGGGTCGTGGGCTGTGGTCCATGGAGTGTGGCTAGAAGATCTGCATGGATGCTAGAATCCATGAAGATGCCCTGAGTGAGGAGCTACAGATTTTTCTGGATGACTAGGTTTTCTGCCGGGCTAGGGTTTTTGAAAATGCAGCAAGGCTGAGCTAACTCTTCTCATCGGGATCTGAATGGATCATTTCCTCTCTGACAGTTTGAGCAATTTACTGTGGCCACAGCGCCGGACCCCTAGCCCAGATGTACACATTCGTTCATACATTCTAGGAAATCCAGAGCGATAGCCGACAACGGTGGCAAGGGTGGTGGTCCCGGCAGAACATGTAGCCAGGTGTCTCTGAACCATGGAATGTTTTAGGAGAGAGGAGGTGCCAGAATTTTCTGGATGAGCTATCCAGACACAACGGGGCCTGCCTTTGTGAGTCACATGCAAAGCAGTAGATGGAGGTGGTGGTGGTAGGAAGGTGAGCAGGGAGAAATAGAAAAAAATTGCTTAAAATGATAAATATTTATTGTAGCCTTCATTTGGGGCAAGTTGGTATTAATTTATTATGGCGTTGAGTCATTATAATTTGAGGGTCAAAAATTATACTGTGCTTGCTTCTATAACGTGGTTAATAAAGTGGCAAATCGGCTTTCTCTCATGTGACAACTTCAGCTGGCAGGGGCTTTCTGGTTTGAGAAGCTCTGATGCTGAGTTGAGTCCAGTGAGTAAGAGGGCTGCTGTGGATGAGCAATGCCTCCCTAGGTGAGAGACTTAGACTGAACGAATGGTATATTTGAAACCGGATCTCGGAGGTGCCTCACACTGTGAAGAAAGAGCTAAATGGGAGAACTCTGTCAGAACAGCTCCCTTTTTATCTATTTAAATTATTAGAATTTTGCAAAAACTCTGCTAAAACCGAAAGTTTTAAAACCACCAATGTAATGGGCAAAGAAGACTAGAGTTTTGGTTCTAAGTTTATTTCTAACTTGGTACATAGGTTTGAGTCAGATATTTTAACTTATACATGAATTTGTCACCAGATGTCACAAAGGACATTTGAGAGATGCCACATTTGTATCATAGTAATGATCATGTGCCTTACTATTCCATCCAGTGGCTCCCTAGAATATTTTAGGAAGCAATTATGTATTTCCTTCAAGTTATCAATTTCTAAAGTTTAGTTATGTGCCCTAAAATTATTGTTTTTTCTCAAAAACCCACTCATGAAATTTATTCTAAACGAAGGATAGCAAACAAGCCCATCTCATTCAATCGGTTGTTAGTAAACTTCCTGACAATTTTGAGAGCCTATCTCTTCTCTCTGGCAGAGAGATGTAATTGATTAGTGATGTCTGCTATGGGAGAGGGAATGGAAGTCGTTGTACAGAGGCCATATATGTCCCTGCTCTATTTTTAAGCCTTTATCATAGATTTATGTGTTTCACCCTACGTGACTGTTGTGGTGACAGAGTTCTCTTTGCTTTGTAGGGCAGACTTTTATTGTTTCTGTTCTCTTGCTGCCTCTTTAAATTGTCGTTGTGTATTCTAGGCTTAGGTAAGAATCCACTTTTTACTCAGTAATATGCCTCTAGTCTTTGTCTAGACCAGTGTTCCTTTTCCATTCAGCAGAGTCACTGAGCCTTTGAAAAAAAAAAAGCCGAAAATGATAGGTATTCTTATCTCCACCCCAAAAATTTGACATGCAGAGACAAGTTTACAGATACCTTGAGATCTATTCATAAATCCCTCTCCGGACAAGAAATCTGCCTCCAGACTGAGGAGCCCTTTATTATTTTCAGCCTTCTTTTTATGTTTCAGTCATTCAGTTTTCTTTTTTTTCCCAAAATTTCTCCCAACCTATATTATCTTTCTTGTGGAGAAAACTTCATATTTTCGTAGAAGTGCAGGGTGACAATGCTTCCCAGTTTTATACGTGTCACACACTAGGAGAGCCACAAGTGAGAAGACATGATAAGCCTGGTGAACCTTCTGAGGAACTTGCCTGTATTCTGGAGGTTTCCTTCTGCAGATGGTTGCGTGATGTTAGGTCTTGACACAGGTTCTGAATACTGCAATGCCCCTGAGGGGGCCTCCCTGACATGCAATATTTAGCTTTTCTATTCTGGCCTCAGCACCACTAACCAGGCAAATGGACCTTCAGCTTTATTTTTGTCATATTTACTTGTTTGCTCAAAAGGCTTTTATGGTTTTCCATGTCCTGACACATACATATAAACTCTTCATTCTGGCTTTCAAAGAAGCTATGAGACATCCTGTTGTCAGTATGGTATTTTGAAAAGGAGCAACAGCAACCAACAAAAATAAGCTGTGACATCCTACAAACCATCAGAAATTTATTTAATCTCTCCGAGCTTCACTTTGCTTCTCCATTAAATGGAGGTTAATAATACCCATTTCATGAATTTCTTGTGAGAACTAAAAGAGATTATGTATGTAACATGCTTAGCACATTGCCTCACACAAAGGTAATGCTCAACAAACAGTAACCGTTATTGCTATAATCAGTAATAAAGGTAACGATGAATTCCTGGATCTGCTGCTTTTGACTGTGTGATCATGGGCTCATGTCTCAACTTATGTGAGTCTCATTTTTTGTATCTGAAAATAAAGAATAGCTCCTAAATGACAAGGTTATTATAAGGATTAGATGATACAACCAAATGGAAGATGTTACATAAACACTGGGTCCTTCATGTATTCTTTTTGCCTGTCCTTGCCCTTGCTTCTCACTCTTAGGTACTGGGAGAGAGAATCTCAAAGTCCCCTATGATCTAGTCAGACAGGCTCTGTCCCTGTCTGACTACGGCACTCACCGTAGACACCCTTCTTCCACGATAACACCGCTTTTCCAACCATCAAATTATGGTTGGAAATTATTAAAAATCTGGAGGGAGGGGAGAGGTAGACAGGATAAAAAGGGTCAAGTATGTGGTGACAGAAAGAAATCTAACTATGGGCGGCGAACACACAATGCAATGTATGTATGACTTACTGTTGAATCGTGCACTTGAAACTTATTGGATTTCGTTAACCAATGTTACCATAATAATAAAAAAAAAATCCTAGGTGGGGGGGTAACATCCAAGACGAGTGCTGCTCTCTCTACAAAACCTTTGCCGACTATTTCATTTGTCACTGCCATTCCTCTTCGCCGAGCAAGTGCCATACTTCAAGTACCTGTCACACCATTTAGCCATTAATGACATTGTCTCATTCACTACAGAGATGCCTTGTGTCTCAGGTGTATATAATCTCAGATGTGGCATTCAATCCCATGTTGGTTTATTTAAGGATGAAAAACATCTTCCGTGAGATAAAAGAAAATTAAGTTCATCTCTCCCTTTTTTGTTGTTGTTGTTGTTGTTGTTGTTGTTGTTGTTGCTGTTGTTGTGGCAGCCTTTTTGCATGAGCGAGGAATGGTTCAAATGACCGTGAAAGACTACATGAGGTAGGTGACAGAATCCGCGTTACTTCTCTCCAGTATTTTATAGCCACATCTTGAAATGGAAGTGAGGCGGTTTCTAAATCATGACATGGATCTTGAGATCTTGTCACTGGTTTAGCCATAGTGCCTACAAGGTTTTCACTAACTTTGAGAGAAATAGAATTTCTTCAGATGTCATGAAGGAGCGAGCAAATTAAATCAATAAATGCCGACTTGTGGGAGAGGAAATTTAATTTAAACGTATGCATAGATGACATTCAAGTACAATTCAACTATTCATAAGGGCCAACTATTTTTATATTGCCAGTATTATCAACCATCATGCTATTTGCTGGAAAATAATCCATAGAAATTCCAGGATTAGATAGAAAGCAGTGAGAGCCTCTTCATTTGATGAAAGACTAGATCTTAAACAGCAGCATCCACATCACCTGGGAACTTAATGGATTGCAAATTTTCGAGTCCCACAGCAGATATTGTGAATCAGAGAATCTGGCGGTAGGGTTCAGAAATGGCTATTTCACAGGGCCCTCTGATGATTCTGAGGCATGCTCTAACGTAAGAACCGTTGCATTAGACTGAGATTTTTAAGGCTGCGGGTTCTGCTTCCCATGATTCAGGTGCTTTTGCATTTTCAGGATAATTCCAACTAGTTGAAAATCAAATATTCAATATTGTATTCCCCGGACTCCTACCAATTCACACCAAAAATGCTACTTTGTCATAGTTTTTCCCTCTTAAAGGATTAGTGGTTTTTGCCACCCACAAAATCACGGAGCCATAGGGACCACAGACATCTCTGAGGCAATTCTTTTATTTCATCGAAGAAGAAAATGAGAGCCAAGGTTAGTGACTCACTCGTGCTCCTGTGGCTTGATTAGAACCGTGATGACATATGGCTTCTCCTGGATCCAAGGCTGGTGAAGTTTTGGGTAGCTATTATAAAATCGGGTATGACCCTCAAACCCTAAATGAAACAGAGATGATGGCAGGGGAGGCAATGAATGAGAGGCTATCTTCTGCCTGTCTTCAAGGCCCACAGTAAGCTCAACTGTCTATTGAAATAGTCTTTATCATTCAGAACCATGCACTTTCTTGACCCTAATGCAGTGACACAATTGAACAAAGAGGCAGAGCCCAGCTGCTCCTACTAATAGCTGGCAGGACTAAGGGGAACTGAGCTGCCCACAGAGGATAACCATCTCTTAGGGAAAACTGATGTCTACATTGTATTCTTTGACAAATTCCAATTTCATGACAACTGGCTGTTCTGTTTGATGAGACTAGATGCAGCTATGGTATATATGAGCTATATAAAAGTGAACTGTAACAGGGTCCATTCTGTCTGGAAACATTTTCGAATGGCTTGCAATGCAGATGTCTTTGGATAGAATGACACTGGTTTTTGTAAGGAAGTTTGTTACTGTTGCATATGGTTGGCCACGGGAGCCTGGAGACAGCACTTAGAGATTGTCAACCATGCGGTATGAAATCCTTCACCATTATGAGAATTAATGCAGAATCTTCCTGAGAGGTTCCCCAATGACTTGCCATCTGTCAAAAGTGAGACATTCTGTCACCTTCATAATGAGCACTAGGAGGCACCTAACACTTAAATTCTCACACCTTCTGTAACACTACACTCTTGAAAAGAGGAGCAGCTTGCCCTTCTTCAAAGGTGTGGCCATTACGGGATTATTAGAAATGAAGAGGAGATGCAAATGTTTGCTCTAGAAAGGAAAGATACTCGATGACCTCCCAGGGCACCATCTAAACCGACACGTCTCATCCTTGGTATCCCCCCAACCCCCACTGCAGATCCCTGCACCAGTGTTCAGAAACTCCTACCCTATCCAGAGGGACCAGTTTCAACTCCTGCCACTCTGCCACAGGCAGACCACAGAGGTATGTGATTTCCAGGCCCTGTGTGCCCAGGAATATCGTCCTGGGCCACCGTGGATTTTAGGAAATTATAAGTAGGCACAGGTCGAATGGATGGATGAGAGAATGAATAAAGGATTTCTGAACTCCAGTTTGCAAGAACAATATAAGTCAGTGAAATTGGAAACAGGCTAAATATCTGTCATTGGGGAAAATGGCCAAATAAATTATTTGCTCCCCATTTTATGGAATTCTATACAATGACAACAGGAATGTATATATGCCAACTTATGATCTTTAAGTCATAGTTTTAGAAAGAAAAATGTAAGATGCCGAAAGATACGTAGAGTATGTTACTATTTAATTATAGAGCAAAACATGTGAAAACTATAAAGCATGTATGTAGCTAACTAGGAAAATGCCTGTAAAGATACCTATAAATGGCCAAGGGAAGAGAGAGCCTTACGTGTAATATTTTAATTTTTTAACAACATGAGTGTATTTTACGTTGAGGTGACTAGAAAAAAAGGGCTTTTGGTTAAGTGAGCTGTTAATGAATAAAGACACTCACTTTTTCTTGCAAAATTAAATATAAATAAAAAAATAGTTAATGGCACTGAAAATACGTTTAATGACAAGTCAATCAATAATTACATGCTTGGCCATGAGACTGAGCCTTTGGAAGGCGAGAGTGTGTCTGTTCATTTTTGTGCCTTGGGTGCCTAGCAGGGAGCCCATGACATGATACCTTTTTAACAAATATTTGTATAAACAGGTAGAATAAAAATTTGTACAATGAGGTCAATAAGACAACAGATTAAATCATTTATGCACAATTTAGATTTCTTGAAAAAATTATTTTTCTTTCTTAAACCTCTTTATATTAAATTATCAAGCGATTGGCACCCTCGGTCCTCCAGTTCTGTTCAGTAAACAAGACGTCCAAGCCGAGCCGTTTCAGGCCCACAGTAAAGGTTCATGGCTGATCATTTCTTCCTTGATAAATCAGCAAGGCACCAGATCCCTACGTCACATTAGAAAGTGTCAAAGAGTTATTGGGTGGTGTCTGGTAAGTACCTGCCTGGGGATACTATAGGTGGCTGATGATGAATGGGTGAATGATCAAATAAATGAATGGTAATTAATCCAACTTAAATGATGGGGTCATGAAAGTAAAATTCTCCTATCTCAAATAAGCTCCTTAGTGTTGCTTGTGAAGTAAAGGCCAACAAACTTCAACAAAAGAACCAAGCAAACCTAGAAAAACCTCATCAAAAGTTCCAGTTCTTGTAGAGTCTGTGATTTCTACAAGGTCAATAGCACAGTCACTGAGAAGTACAGTGATTGAGAAGGGAGTTCGTATGCATAGACATAATTTTCATATAATGGAAGGTTATCATCTTAAGTGCCAAAGCTGAATAAAATAATTTGATGAACACTTCTCAGCCAAGACCAAAAATATACAGAGCGTGCTTTAACCCTACCTACAAAACCTAAAAGCACTGTTTGTAAATGCCATTCCTTAGAGTTTGCATAGTCTCGACAAGTGTGTGTAGCTGAGCACACCCCAGATCGATACTCCTTAAAACTAGGCATCTTTGAGTCTACTGTCTACAGTCTTTTTTTTTTTTTCAGTTTTCTATTGCCTTCGACTGTCATTTTATTGTGGTTTTCAGTGCCTTGCCCCTGGCTTCTGTTCCACAATCTCTCGGTCCTGTCTAATGTAACGTTTGCCTATTGTGCAATGGCAAGGCATTTAAATAAGGTCACTGATATTGAATGTAAGGTACAGGCAAGCGGTCCCTGAGTGAGAGTGATGGACAATCTTTCAAGTATATGTGAGCTCTAAAAAATGCAACATCTGTTTGTCTATTCAGATTTCTCTTTCACTCAATTTCTGGAAGATTGGGTGGTTGAGGTGACTAGAAAATAAAAAGGCTATGGGTTAATTAAAATATTACTAGATAGAGATATTCATATTTTTTTCGCTACAGTATTCCTGAGTGGCTGGAATTTTGGGAAAATGATCCAGTGGAGTTTCTCTTGGATCTGGGGTTTGGAGCTGACGGGCCAGACATCTGCACACAGATCCCAGCCAGATTCCTGGGCTGTGGCTCCGCAGCCAGAGGAATCGATATCCGTGTATTTCTTGAAGCTCAAAAGCAGCGCATGGACATTGAGAACCCTGACTTGTACGGTAAGGACCACGTGACATCCGAATCTCAGCAGTGGCGATGTTGTTGGGCAAGGGCTCGCTGCCCGACACACGTAGCAGCCAGGACTATGGCACCATGTTCTGAGTAATGAAAAAACTTGGTCGCGAGGTCAGCCAGCAAGGACACTAGTGACAGAGCTCAAATCTGTCTCCTGATCCAGAGTTCAAAGCAAGGTTTAAGGGCTTGGGGGGAACAGGCTGTTATGCAAAAGCACTGTCGGGGGCATTCCAACTGAAGGGCTTTGGAACTTGGCCATTTATGGTAAGATATGGTAAGGGGCTTCGGCACCCCACCTTCCTGGACAACAGATCCTTTGCTTCCAAAAGCATTCTCGTGTTCAGGTTCCAGTTACGTCCTGGTCCTTTGGTTCCATGAGGTGGAGAGACTTTGGTCTCAGGTGTTATTGGAGGTAAAATTCTCTTCGACCACATGTTTTGTTCTGTTGTCTCTGAAAAACAACTCAGCATCTTGTTAGAAACAGGATAAGGTCATTTTGAGCTGGTTCTGCAATTACACGATGAGCACCAAGATGAGCCCCAGTACTGGGAGGGATGGTCTGGGAGATGTGGGCAGCAGCAGTCGACCCCTCTGTCTCAGGCCAAAAGCAGAGCAGATTCTATCTTGATCACTCTACACATCCACAGCGGGCTGGTATGTATGTTTGGGGGAGGGGACATCTGCTCCATGTTGCCCTCATTGATGAACTTGGCCCCACCATCTGGAATGTCACTGGTTGCAAAGAGAGAGAAAAAGTAGAAATGGAGAACCATACTCGACTTTCACATCCTTCTTCTCAGAATTTACAGGTGTCAGGTCTGCTCAGATTTCATTGTCCATGATAAGTCACATGACCACACTTAACTCCAAGGGGTGAGAATGCGCAATCCTAACATATGCCCAGAAGGAAGAATACTGTCAATACTGATGAACAGCACTGATATATATCATAGCCACACACTCAAGACGCAGAGAAACGAGAATCTGACAAGGCTTATCATGAGTCACTAGGTAACATCTTAATTTCCTCACCTATGAGGCTTAGAACACTACTTATTCCACCATGAGCCAGAAGTGGTAGTTACTAATCTGACATATATCCAGATTTGTGGATTGACTATGCCTAAACCTTTTAGTTTTCATGCCTGCTGCAATCTTTCCCCTACTGGTGGTCAATGGAATACTTTTCTGTAGGACACAACTAAGGGTGCACTTGGGATATGTGTACTGTGCTCATATAATTTGAAGGAGAGATCCCTTGCAGTTAACAGGTGTGTTTACTGCAGAATTTGTTGAAGTGAACTTCCAGGCTCCTAGCGGGGGTACAGTGCAGTGTTTCAAAATCATTGAAATACAGAACCCTTCTTGGAAGAGCCATGAAAAATCTCCTCCATGAGACAGAGTTTGCAGAATCCTGGACCGAAGGAAGTGCCAAAATTCTGTTTCTGAAATAAATTCTTTTAAATAAATAAATTCACTAAAAGGGAAATGAGATAAAATGTTTCCCTCCAACAAATCCCATAGATTTGTCATTTTTGTTTCTGTCTCCCCTGTCTTCCTGTGGTGAGATGGGTCTTAAAAATCTCAGCAATGGGATTTTCAAAAATGAGTATGTAAACCGGAAGGTGTTGCAGTGTAACTTTTCTTTACATCGTAGAAGAAATTAATATCATTTGTTGTCATCTTCTCCAAGCCACATGGAGATACGAGTTCTTGGATTGATTCTTTTTTTTTTTTAGAGAATGATAATACTTATCACTATCTGAGGAATGTGCGAGCTGATCTGTGAAATCAACATTTTTCAGAAAACGGACACATGGATCATAGAGGACCGAGTGATTGCAGGCTCACTGTCATATCCACCTCTTAACACTGTGCCAGTATGGCCTGGTAACCATCCTTACTCAACACTTACATCAGGATACTTTTGATTCATCAAAGCAGATAAGGTCGAATGTAAACCAAGGAATAATAGTAATTAGTTGGCTGTTCTAAAGACAGAATAGACAAGGATGTCTCATCCAGAGTTAATACAAAAGTTTCCAACTTGAGAAAATGAGCATCAGTTGGCTCACTATTTAATCTACCCAAAGGCAAAACAGAACCCACTCCTCCAATGCTTTGTACTATTGTGTTCTCTGAATTGACTGAACCAATTAAATTGGTAGGTTTTTGTATGAGTCTAAGTAAAAATCTGCTATAGGATGGACATTAAGACAATAATGAAAGTGGAATTACATTTAATCACACCCTTAGGCTGACAAAAGAGATTTGGTTTCAAGTGAAACTGAATTTAGGGGCAAAGTGTAGTCAAAATGCTTCTGAAAACGCTCAGAACCCAAGAGTCCCTCTAAGTCTTGAATGAATATCACAGGGCTCTGTGAGAAGCCTATCGCACTTTTTGGAGTAGAAGAATGAATAGTCAACATCCTCGAGGCCCTTTCAGGTGAAAGGAAAAACAGGCACAAAGATATGCTCATGAAAGAGTAGCATGGCTCTGATGATGCGCACAGCACAGCAGAGAACAGCATCCTGCCCCACCGACGAGTTATGCAACCCCACATGCTATCACTGGGGTTGAGAGAAGACTGTGTAATGGGAACAAAATGCTCTGTTTTTGTTACTATGGTTTTTATTACCTGGAGATAGCAAAAATATTTTTCATTATTTTTTTTCAAAACGGTAGTGTGTCCCATAATCAGTGTGACCCTTATTGCATTGGGTCTTACCCACATGCTAATTAGATCAGTTGCCTAAATGAATGAGGTCAGATCATCCAGTAGGACTCACAAGTTGAGAAGCTTGTTTGTTCGGAAAACAAAGAATGACTATCTTTTCTTGGAGGACTGAAGACAGTATACTCCCTTCCCGAGTCTTGCACATTTATAATATTAACAACCGATATTTATATAACATTGTGTTTTAACAAAGATGTGAGAGATACTTAACACAGGTATTATTACCCTCATTCTGCAGATGAAGAAACTGACCATTTACCATGTACCCGGCACAGGGCTGAGCACCGTGTATCTATCAATTCGCTTACTTTGCAGTCATACTTTCAGTGATTGCTGGACCTGAGATATGGATCTGGGCCTCCAGACTCCATATGCTATGATTTTCCACCCTCTCAGGTAACAGTATAGATAGAGATAATGGAGGTGATGACAGAGATATCTATTGCCTAAAGCTGTGGAAGAATTCTCAAGTCTATCTCATCTGAAAGAGCTGGGTTCGCTTTTTAACATTTAATTTAATTTACAAGATTAAACTCAAGATTCATCTTTGCCTGTCAGTTTTATGGATTAATACATTAAAACTATAGGCAAATATGAATCTATATAGTTATGTATATTCAACTTAAATACAAAAGGTATTCACTTTCCCCATAATATAGTGACATCTGATCACGTAGGGGAATCACCCTCTAATAATTATTGGCATGTACTAAGAAAAACTCAAATTGCAATAGCTTAAAGTCCTGCCTATCTTGAAAATCCCCCATGTTAACCAACCGGTTCAGTTTTAACTACCTTCATGTAGTTTCATTAAAAAGACCCAGTCTAAAATCTGTGTGTTTTTTATATTGTTCAGGCCGTTTCCGACAGCTGGAAATCCTGGACCATGTGGCCACTGCCTTCTCATCTTTACTGAATGATGTTAGCATCCTGCAGAACAAAGCCGTAGAGAAAGATGGAGGGGAAAGTGTGCAAAGAACCTCAGTGAGTGGAGCCAAAGAGAATCAGAGGAGAGTGGGTGAACTTTTCAGGAGCACTTCAAAGCAGAACATCAGAAGGGACGGTGTTTCGGAAGCAGCAGAGTCGTTGAAGACGAGGGAAGAATTTTCCATCACCTCTGCAAAACCAGGGGGGTGTGGAGAAGAGTTCCCAGCTAGGACAGACAACCATGACCAAAGTCATTTGTATTCTTCAGCAGAGCATTCATCTCTCCAAGCCTGTGATGACTTGATACCTTGTCATCTTCCCCAAGTTCCCCTGAAAAAGCAGTGGCCTTACTCAGCCGTGCTAGCCAAGCAGGCTCCACCTTCCTGTGTGTCTGAGGGGTCAGTCAAGGACAGAGCTCAAAAAGAAAACTCGATTCAGACTAACAAGCTCAAGAGCTTGCCTCATCTTGTGAGCAAAGCACCAGACTCCTTTGAAATGGAAGAGGTCAGTGTTGTACCCATGTGCTCAGCTTCTAAGAGAAATAACACTCGCCGAGGCATCTTTTGCCTTCCAGCCCTCATTTAACCACTTCAGTGTGCTCAGCTTCTAAGAGAAATAACACATCTTTTGCCTTCCAGCCCTCATTTAACCACTTCATCTTTCAACCCCTCGGCAGTATTATTGTTTTAAACTCCTGTTCAGTCTAGGACATTCAAGGTCATTCTACTTGCTTCAGTCAGAACCAGACTAGTATGAGACCAGCCTTCGCTTTCTCTGATTCCTTTTCTTTCCCTTGCTCACAATGGAATCCACAGGTTATTTCCGACTTTGCTTACTGTGTTATTATGCATTGCAGGATACTTTTATCTACTCTAACTTTGCACGTTTTACCTTCTTTGAGGGTCAGTGGATTCTCAGAGCCATGGCAGGGAGAGCTTGTCATGGTACAGACTGGGTGTGTGTCACAGACATCCCTCCCATTAGACTATTAGAAGACCAGGTTTTGACATCAAGGGATGTTTCTTAGAAATATTTCCCCCATGATGCCTAAAGTAGAGCCTTGAACAAAGAAGTAGGGGTTTGGCTTTGATTTTTATGGGACCAGAATTTTATTAGTGCACTTTGGGACTTATTGATAATCACATAGCCTGAGCCCCAGTTCACACATATTCTCTGCTTCTTTATCCCCCCCTTCACTCATTCATGTTAATTTCCACCCTTTTAGAAGACATCCACCTGCACTTCTCAGTCTTTTTAAAATATGTATGTGTACATTGTCACTCATTTCTCTATTCTTCAATATAATTATAAAGTACAAAAAAAAAAGCAAGATCCCCCCATCCTTTTGCATTAACTTACCCAAAAGTGAGACAGGATATTTATATACAGATCCCAACATTGGGCCACCTCTTCTTTGAACCCTTTACTGTGAGGCTCTCTGATAGGCTCTGGGGCACAGACTCTGCCCTAAAGAGGACCACAGTACTGTGGCAGGGATGGGCACAGAAATCAGTCATGGTAGGGACAGTGACAGCTCTACTGATAAACTTTTATGTCACTATAGAGACATGTTTGGGATGTCTGGGAAGCAAGAAAAGGGATTCTTAGCCAGCCAGGGAGCTGAGAGGCTCAAGGAACTTGCAGAAAGGAAGGTTTAACTATAACCTTAAAAGAAGAGTAAGAATTAAGTGAATATGACTGTTGATAGCCCCCGCATTTCATAAAAGTATAAAGGTTGCCTCAAAATATATAGCTGTTAATATCCTAATACCTATATATATATATGTTTATGTATGCATATGTCTATATCAAAATTACTTTAAGAACCTTAAACTATTAATCAGAATTTAAAAACAGTAGCCTAAAAATTATAAATGGAGAGAAAAACAGACTCATCAGGTGCTCTGATTCAAAGATAAATAGGTGGCACTAAAATGAGTATTTTCTTTTAATTCAATCTTGCAAAGATTATTTGATTACCAAACTAATAGTTAAATTGCTATAAAGAATATCAAGAAAATCTGCAATTCATTAATCAGTCTGCTCTATTATGTAGGATCCAAACAAGAAATTTCACCAAACTCCAGCCTGTTGGCAAACCTCGCTGGACTCAACTTTCCCCTTACCAAATTTCTTCTGCTTCTAACCAGACCAATTTAGAAGAAAATAATGTTCATTAGATGTCATCTATATGTGAGCATACAGGAAGAGATAAATATCATATTCAACAGAAAGAACTATGAAAAAATGTCAGTTCTTGTATGGCATAATTTCAAATATTCTTAAATAACAGTTATTCAAGGAAAAGCTACATATTAATATATAAAGAGGTGGGAAGAAAGAACACTCAGATATCAAACAAAAATGAACAATGTTTTTTTGGAACATAGTAGGTACACAGTAAATACTCGTGAATGAGTAAATTAACATTAAGAGTGTTTGATAATATTAATTTAGTCTGTGGGTGGCTTCCATGGAAAAACAGAATATTCTGTTGAACTTCATGACCAACTTTGTTTATGATGTTCTTATACTATTTACCTAGATTTATGTGCATTAGAGGCTGTATGTATGTGTGTGTAAGGCAGAGAGAGCCCAAAAAACAGATATAAAGGAAACTCACTACCTAAATTTTATTTTCTAAAATTTTTATTTAAAATATTACATCCTCATCACACAGACTAGGGGTAAAATATTTATATCACTCAATACCAGTGGATGAATAAATGAAGCTTGGGTAGGTTGCATCTTAAACAGGAGCAAATGCCAAATTTAATAGTCATTTCTCAATGGCAAATTTAGAAACACAACTAAAAGAAATAAAAAATATGTGTGAAATTGGCAGATTTTCATGGCATTCAAAACATAAACCAATGTACTTAAATATCTAGCTATCAGAATTTCAGCTGTGATCAGCCAAATTTTGCCTCCAGATCAATCTATAATGTTTTCCCTAAAGTCCTACTAAAGGCTGATTTGGGCAATATTTGGCTTGCTTCTCAAAATTATGATTCCAGCAAAACTGCACATAGATTTTTAATGCAAAAATCAACATATTTTTGTATTTAATTTTGCTTAGTAAGATGAGGTCTGTTTCTTTCTTTTTTAATCCCCAAATATATTAAGAGAATTTAATGTTTACAAAACTTTTGCAGTCGTACACTCAAGGTAGAATCCTTTTTCATGCCCACAATAAAACATATTTAGCCTTGCCTCTCACTTGCATGCAGGAATCCTGCTCTAGAACTCATAGGTAAGAGTTGGTAATGTTATTAAACATTACCAGTCGGCATCCTGATTAGGCGGGAAATGTTTCAAACATTATAATTATTTCTTTAGTCTTAGTTTTTTTTAATTTATTAAGTTTGGCTCAGGTAGAATAACCCAGGAATATGCCTGGTTTCCATTTTAAATTGTTAGGACTTTTTTTGTTTTTGTTCTTTTTTCAAAAGGTGAATATACTCTACATTGCATTAACTGGATTTTTCCCCATGATAGCAGTCATAGCAAGATAATCTTCCTATTATATTTGTAAATTTATGTGATACACAGTGGTTTCAGTTACAAAAACCACTAAAAATAACCTTAAGAAATATATCTAATTACAAGTATGAAATAACTTCTTTGATGAAAAGATAAAAGATTAAAAGGAGGGTATAAATATTTCTTCGTACATTGCTGAGCTATATCCTCATATTCCTCCATTTATTCCTGGGTTTAAGCTTATGTGTACCAAAATGTTTAAGATCCATATGTCCTCTGACTCAGCTTTCAGTGTTCAAATATCAATCTCAAGTAAATAATATGACATGTAGAAATAGATTTATGTACAAGGATAGTCATCTCAGCATTATTTCCATTTGCAAAATTTAGAAAACATTCCAACATTGGGAAAATCATTAAGTCACTTACTGTAACTTTAAAATATGACCTATCGTGCAGTCCATTAAAGATGGTGTTTTTAAAGAAATTTTATGATGTAGGAAAAAAGGTTCCCCTCAATTTTGAGTGAAAAAATTTGACTACACAGCTATATCCGGAATAAATGTATTTTAAAAACCTGCAAAGACAAACTCTAAAATAGTAACAGTAACTGTTTCCCTACCTTTTAAAACTTTTTATATATATTAAGTTTCTATAGTAAACAATGTTATTATTGTTAAAGAAATATTTTATTCTTATTACTAGAGTAGTATTTATTGATTTCTTAAAAGAATTTTAAAAATAAATTCTGCTTTATCAATTGGAAAATCAAATTTTCTTTGAGCTTTCTAAGCTTTATAGAGCAACTGAGTTAGGAATTGTTTGAACTGCTCTTCATAAATTTACCAAGTCATAAATAAACCCTTAGAGAGCTAAAGTTAAATATGAGGAAAAGCTCACTTTTTCCAAATATATTTAAAGCTCTTTGAAATTAAAAAAAAAAAAAAACTAGAAAAATAATAATAATATTATTATTTTAGTTCAAATGCCATATGTTCCAGGCGGGGCCTCTATTCCTCTTACTCAGAAGTGATCTTCCCTGCATTCTCTTGACCTCCTTTAGCTCACTGAATCTATATTTTGGGTGCCTTGTACGTGCCACTTGACTACAGCAGACTATAAACTGTCCGAGTTTGGAAGTCACGTTTAATCCTCATAGCAGTAGCCAGCAGGCACTCATTGTATGTTGATTAAATAAATGAAGTATATTTATTATGAAAGCATTTATAATAAGATTGATGCATTTTGGTGTCTCAGGTCCAGAGCTTTGAAGAAGAGATTGGTAATCCTCTTGACCTGAGTTCAGGAACTGTAGGTAAGAATTCATCAAGGTGTGCGATTTCACCAATGATCTGTCAAAAAGTGAATGCAAATAACTACTACTCAACTTTCTTAATATGTAGAACTTAAATTATTGCTAGGCAATGCCATAACTACTTACAACTACTATATACTAGTCTACTATTACTATTTCTACCTACTACTATTAAAAACCTACTTGCAATGCAAATATACATGTAAATTTCAAAATACTTAATACAACTACGTTTAGTATCATTGGGGCTAATGTAGTAAAGTGGTTTGTCTAACATTATATAATCCGACCAGGATAGTGGAATGGATTTCACACAGGACTGGGGATAATTGGTTGAATACTTTCTTTCTTCTACTGCCAACTGCTTGATGTTGCACAAGTCATATTATTTTACGAGGCCTCGTTTTTTTTTGTTTTGTTTTGTTTTGTTTTGTTTTTACCTGTTATAAAGAGATAAGTACAGATAATTTTTAAGTTCTCTGTCAGCACTTATATTCTAAATTAAGTGATTGAATGACCTTCATATTAAACTCTCAGTGAAAACAAGTTACGGAGATGTAACTTTCCAAATCATCTCTTAGAATGATCTTAAATTATTCTAGACAAAAGAGAAGGAAGTCTTTCTCTACTCATGGTTCTTATGCCCCTATTCAGCCATCACTGTGATTCAGCATTTCCATAATCCTATAACAGAGCTAAAACTAGACAGGGATTAGTGAAGCAAAATAAAGCAGCTGAAGCTGGTATATTTCCTGGAAGAAAATATGCAAATTTTTAATTTAATTTAGTGTGGTGTCAAACACATCTTTTTCATTACTAAGTATGTATATAGGCCTCATTTTGCTAAATGCTGTTTAGAAATTATGCATTAGTAATTATGGGGTCCTGCTGATTACATAAATTGTTATCCTGCTCTTCGAAGTAATTATCACATAACCTGCATTGAGGTTTATAAGACAAAAATAAGCATCTGTTTTCCATTTAGTCGAATGCTTCTCAATGAAGCTGGAGGTCCCCTTGCCAATAGAAGCTGCTTTCTTTGACATTTAATTAAGAGGTTTGCTGATATCATGTTAGTCACCCCAATCATTCCAAAAAATGATTTGGGAAGTTAGGCAAGACTACTCGTCTACATTTAATCTCACATTTAAAGAGCATAATAAGATGGGTGAAGATTAGCCTAATAAAGAAAATCTGAATTACAGTTAAAACAAATGTGATTGTATTATTTTCAGAAAAACCAATGTCGCCATAATGAAAATTAAAAACAAACAAACAAACAAACAAACAATGTTGCTGACACAAAAAACAAGAGGATAGAAAAAGATAAATAAATTTTGGCTCAATTAATGGAGAAAGGGGAAATTATTACTTTGACATATATATGAATGAATTACATATAATTATATGTAAATTACAATTAATGGAGAAAGGGGAAATTATTACTTTGACATATATATGAATGAATTACACATAATTATATATAATTACATATAATAATTTTTGACTCAAAGTTTAAAAAGTGACTTTATTCAAAAGATAAAGGCACATGGACTGTTTTGACCAATAAAATAAGGCAGAAGTGATGCTGTGCTACTTCCAGAGCCTAGCCCTTAGCTCACCTGTCTGCTTCCTGGCTCTTGAAATATTTCCTTCTGAGAACCCAGCCCTCATATTGTGAAAGGTGCAAACCACATGGGAATGCCACACGTAGGCACTCTGGTGGACAACCTGAGTGAGCTCTCATGTGAAAAAGCCATTTTGGATGTCCAGTCCAATCATACTTTCAGATGACTCCAGTCCAGATGCCATCTGACTTCAACTGCATGAGGAAATCTAAGCGACAACCACTGAGCTGAGTCCACCTATAGAACTACAAGAGATAAAAACTGTGGTTTGAAGCCACATATGTAAACACAAATAGATGAAGGCATGTGGTAAACTCCTCAAATACCTTTAAAACTTAGTTAAAAGACATTTTAAAGACTGTTTTTTATCTACTCATGCACAATTTTCTGAATATTAGCAGAGAAGGTATATTTAAGCATTTTCTTAAGTGGATTTGAGTAAAATTACTTCTTATAAAAGATGGGTACCCAAGGCCACAAATATACTATCTTCCCTTAACCCCTGAAAAATCGTCACTGAAATGACAAAGAACTATAAATGTAAGAAGGAAATATATAACAGTGCTATTAAAAAGGGAGTGGGGTGATTCAGTCATCCATATTCCAGAATCCTTGAGGAATTTATTGTGGATGTGGGATACACCGTGGGTGAGGCTGCCGACACTTCTATAGGAAGAAGTCGCCTGGGGATTAAAGGGACAAGTCCACTGCTGAACTTACTAACACGTTAAGTTCATAATTTCTAAAAGAATCTCATATCTCTCTGAAATTGGACAGGACATACCTTCCCTGTCTCCTTGTAAAATCAGCAAACACAGCAAAATTATTATAAGATCTAGCAGTTCACAATCAAAGGCTATTCAGAAGAAAGGCTTACCTATAAGAGAATGACTACAAAGAATCATTAAACATCCTCAGTGAGATGTATGAAGACATTGCATCTATATAAGAGAACAGTCGTCAATGAATAAACATTTCTTCATATAAAATACACAATGTCTGCTTTTGCTTCTGATAACGACGAAGTAACCCCTAACAGACCAACCCTCCCACAGATAACTATAAACTCTGGGTAAAATATTTTTAAAACTCCTATCTAAAGTTACTGAAGAGTGAACAAAAGTAGACAGATAGTGGAGAAGATTTCAACACTTGGAAAAAAGGAATGGCACTGGATGAATTTCCCATTTTTTAAAAGTCGTTTAGCCTGGCGACAGACTCTAATTAACACCATTCTAAAAAAATTATAGAAATCAACAGTCTTACTAGTTAGGAGAATCAGAAGACAGTTTGGGCCAATGAGAACAGTTGGAAAGTGAGGGAAGAAATCTCAGAAAGGAGAGAGCCAGAGCAGAAAATTCTCAGTCTGAGTATGAAATCTACCCAAATTTCTAGCCAATTCTTCAATTATATATGCTTGGGAAGACTTCAAGAATCTCAGTTAAGGCTAAAAGAAGCAAATTAATATTTCAAATTGGAGTTTGAGTCCGGCCAGTTCTCTTGCTTGCTATTGGACATATGAAGAAATAAAAAGATATAACCTATGCTCAAGAAAAAGGCAATTAATGGAGACAAACTCTGAGAAAACCCAGATGTTAGAATCAGTAGATCAGTATCTTAAAGAGTTTATTATAATCATGCTGAAGGATATAAAGTAAAATATGCTCACGATGAATCAAACAATAGAAAATCTCAAAAAGAAACAGAAGTTATAATAAAGAATAAAATGGAAATTCTATAAATGAAAGCTATAATTTCTGAAACAAAATTTATCAAATGTGCTAACTAGCAGATATAAAGTGGGAAAAGAAAGGCTTGATGAACTTTAATATATATCAAAAGAAATTATCCAACAATCTGAAGTACAGGGGGCAAGAGACATTCAAAATATATATTTAAAAATTATCTGAGTTTGAGAACCTGTGAGACAATATCAAAAGGTCAAATATACATGCAGTTGTAGTCAAGAAAGGAACGGATAGAAAGAACTGGGCCAAAAAAATTTTTGAAGAAACAATGGTGGAAAATTTTCCAAATTTGCTCAAAGATTTACATTTACAGATTCGATAAGCTCAGCAATTTCTAAGTAGGATAAATACACAGAAAACTATACTTAAATGATGTCAAGGTCAAACTGATAAAAATCAAAGACAAAGAGAAAATATTCAAAGCACGTACAGGAAAAATTACATATTGCACGCAAGAGAATAAAGATTTGAATGGCTGAAGACTCCTCAGTGGAAACAAAGAGACTATAAAACAGCAACTGTGAACTGGAGTCTATATGCAGTAAAAGTACCTTTCAAGGCTGAGCATAAGATAAAGACATTTTTAGATAAAAGAAAATTAAGATGACATTATGAGCATACCTGCTCTGCAAACAGTGTTACAGGAAGTTCTTCCAACTAAATATGGACAGTGAATTGTGGTGTTTATACCATATGTCAATGTAATGCATATAACAGTTATAGCATGGAGTATGGGGAGGTTGGTAATGGACCAATACAGCTATAAGGCTTCTCCATTTTACACGAAGTGGTATACAATGTTAAATTTAAGTAGATTGAAAAATTAAGGAGATGAAGCAACCACCAAAAAAAGTTGCAGATATGTAGCAAAATGCTAACAGAAAAATTAAAATATAATTCAAAAAATACAATGAAGACAGTAAGTGACAGATTGACTACTTCAGGAAAATAACTAGATTGTTGAAATAGGAGACGTGTGAGACATTATTTAAAAATTGAGTGGAAAAAGAAATGAATATAATAAGCAAAATGTCAAGGAAGACAGATTCAAGGAATATTGTATAGATGCAACAGGTGGTTAGAGTTAGTCTTTGCATCTTAGTTTTGACTGAGGTTCTAAAACAGATAAATATCAGATACAAAGTCAATGTGTGACAAATCAATACATGCAACTTTTCGAAGGAAATTGTAGGACCCAGTTTCACAAGTCTTGAACCTTTTCAGCCTGTTGTGTATATAAAGAGGAGACACGTTTCAGAGAGAAAGAAGACATTGAAGAAGCTATTTCATTAGTGAACACTAAAGCCCATCTGCTCTCCCATTCCACCACTTAGAGAAGGATTCACGATGCCAGCCTAACCCCGAAGCAGTAAGAGCCCTTAAGGAGACCACTCATGGAGCAACCTCACTATAGTTAACAAACACAGTCAGAGTGTGACAGTGCTTCACAATCATTACATCATTTAATCTTCGAGACAAACCTTTCAGGTAGCCACTATTATTATCCCTCATTATGAGATGAGGAAACTGAAACATGGAGAGGTTAAATACTTTCCATAGTCTCACAGAGAGTAAAGGGGTTCCAGGATTCAAATTCAGGCCACCTAGCACGAGAGCCTGCAGC